CTTTATGCGTGAATTAATCTTATATATAATAAAGGTTATACTACTACTTATAGTATATAATTACCCTTGGCCTATAGGTCTATTTTTGAGTACCTATTAACCATATAGTTCTTGAAGCTCCATAATCACTATATTATCTACTCATTTAATTGCTATAGGCTCTAACTTAGTATCCTACCATAGTCCTTAACGTCTAAGTAGGCGAAACGACACTAGGTTATAGAGTAGATTAGGGTAGTATACTATATTATCTAGCCTAATTATACTATTACCACGCGTGCTCTTTAAACGTACATAGACGCTACCATATCCTTATATCTAAACTTACGTATTCCCAGCCCATATGAAGTTGCCTGGCCTTAGTGGCCATAGTACAAGAAATTAATTAACATTATTAAAGATATGGCAAGTTATGCCTAAGTCGAGGATCACTAAGTTATGGAGTGGATACGTATTTAGCTTAGAGAGAGTTGCTATATTAAAGCTTATATAGACTAACGTGACTTTATAGCCATCTAGTTACTTATTACTTACCTCTATTAATCGGGTCGGCGTTGGCGTATGGGACTATTTAATATAAGGTATTTATATTCGTGATCTACTTTAACCTTAAATTAGCCCTTAAAACGCGCTATTATACTTACGTTTAAGCTTAATCAGTTTACTAATAGCTGGTCTTGGTTTCTACCATGTAGGTGCTAGTTCCTTATAAAGGTAAAAGTAGTCTTTAGCTACATGGCTTTATTCACACGCTAGGCATAGGCCTATAGTGTTTAAAGGCTTATCATATAATAGCTAAGAGGTCCCATGTGGATACGCTCTCTTTCGTTTTAAGGGACGTCCCTTGGATGGCGCATGTTTAGTATAAGAGGTGTCCCTATTATTACCCTAAGTGGTTTTACCACTATCAGCGAGAAAGGCTCTATTAGTTATAAAGGCCGCTTTATACTTGCTCTTCACGCTAGGGTGGTTTACCATTATATGTTCTTGGAACCGTTTCATCATCTCCTTTCTAGTTATACTGGCGGCGTATCTACCATAGTCTTGGAAGGCCATAGCCTATACGGGTGCCACTTTATTAATGGCTACTAGAAAGTCTTTTATGATCGCATTTAGTTACGTCACTTCGGCGACCCTATAGGTCTCCGCTTCTATAGCTGCCTAATTATATTTAGTAAGCTAGGTTTCCCATTGATTAACACTTCTTATTGCTTTTAGAGCTGCGAGATATCTATCTCTAGCGTGCTCTTGTTCAAATTGCTCATTAACGCCGGTAGTGAGCTTGAGACTTATGACCTATTGGCGGAGTAGTTGATCAGGTAGGTAGTATGTGCGCTGGAGGTGTTTTGCCACCATTAAATGGATAAACGCGATGATATGCTGAATGCTTGTCTACTCCTTCTTATATTCGTGTTGATCGCTCTTGTACTATTCATGACAGATCTTATAGTACTCAAGGTCCTCCTTGAAGGCCTTCTGTCCGGCTGTTGATAGCTTAGACTGTCGCACCGGTATCTCGATATTGGCTGCCGGGGCGTAGTTTGCGATAACTGGTGCTCAGATAGCTACCGGTTGCATGATCAGCGGAGTTACTGAATTAGGGTTGACCTTATCCCATAGGTTATACGTAACGTAGTGTGCCTGCAGCTGTGTATACCATCCTATGAAGTCGTTATAGTCGCGGAGCGTTATCTCTACGCGCTGAGGGGTCGATTGGGCCGTCATGGTTGATCGGTATATTGGTTGAGGCAGTGAGACTCTTAATTGTTAGATTCACACAGTGATTTGATGAATATCGGTGATCTGGAGATGAGATGAAATTAATTCATTGTTGTCATATACGTGTGTTCTGCCAGCTTTTATCGGGTTCCTATTACCTATCCCTTGCTTCGGGGCTGGGTGTCCAGCAAGGGCGGATGGCCAGCTATCCCTGCCACCTGCCCGGAGTACTGTCCGTACCAAGGCAACTTCGTAGGCCCTTATCTGACAACAGTAAGATACTCAGTACACGCCCTCATATCTGACAATAGTAGAAGTAAGTGGAGACGGCTGCTTCTGTATACCTAGTATATTGTATCACATAGTCTATGGGATAATGATGACGAGGAGAGATTAGATCTTTCTAGGAAATGTGCCATGACGTTATATAGTGACGGACGGTATAAGGAGGCCGAAGAGCTGGAGGTTCAAGTGATGGAGACGAGAAGGAGAGTGCTTGGGGAGGAGTATCCTTCCACGCTGACCAGCATGGGCAACCTGGCGTTGACGTACATGAATCAAGGCCGGTGGAAAGAGGCCGAAGAGCTGGAGATGCAAGTGATGGAGAC